TTTTTTTATAAAATGTTACAATTTTGGTATTTGTGATGAAGCACGTTTAGAGACTGCCGTGTACACCATGCTTTTCTATTACATTCACTTTAATGTCTAAGAGGACTAAAAATTTATATTTTCGCAATTCAAATGAGTAGCGGCTTGGACTCCGAAACAGTATTCCATACGTCACCTATCCATTTCGACTTAACAAGCAGATAAGTTTAACCAATGCACACAATCTGAGCCGAAAAGAGCCATGATTGTTTCACCCATTGAGTCTTTTGGTTTTTGAGTAGTTCGTGTAAAGAGAGATGACTCAAACTCAAGTACTTGAGAAATTAATGGATCAAATCTTTTTCCAACTTTAAAGGCATATGATTGGCTTCTGTCTTTCACATGATGAACGAACGACTCAAACCTAATAGAAGACTTGAAGAAGGAGCTAATCTTCTACTCCACCTGCACAAATGTGGATATGCGTGAATGAACGGATCACTCCCTAAGAGGACTCATCGTTCTTGAGTCACACAAAAGATTTGTTGAAAATAATTGAATCGTTCAAGAATGACCCAGCACTACATTACAGCAGATAAACAGAAGTCAGTGATAGAGACAGACATGGATGAGACTGAAATACAGCTCATTAGTCAAAAATACCAAGTAAGTTTATTTGATGTACTTGTGGGGAAGTTTATTCAAGCCTTTCTGAAATGATGAGTCTCACACAAATGCCATTTGCAGTACACAAACACACACACACACACGCACACACACATACATTTATATGCATGTTTACTGACACCATGTGGCTGTGGTGATTATATCAATTAAGAAATACATCTAATATACTGTCTTTATAACAAACCGGCTCTGTTTTAATGTATAAAACTTCATTAAAAATCACAGAAAGTTGGAACAGATATTTTAATCCCAGTTTATTTGTAAAAAATGTTCTGTGGACGTGTGCATACATGTTATTATAGAAACATGGTGCCTGTCAATCAAATCGGTGGGCGGATAAAACTGCACTCCTATGTCACATTGCGGTGGGCCTCAAAATCACTTTGATATGGATCCTATTTTACCATCTAGAAGTAAAAAAAAAAAAAAAAAAAAAAAAAGTATTGTGTTTCTATCACTCCAAAATCACAGTGGAGACTATATATACACACAGTTCTGCCCAAACAGCTTACAAAACTTGATTTTCATCATAGGTGCCCTTTAAAGTTTTGCTAATGTTTCACAAATGCCCTGTAATAATACGGTTAACTAAAAGATTTGTGGGTTTGTGTTGGATTCGCAGGCCTGCTGAGGTTGGAGGAGCTTGTGCGTCACTTCCTCATATCCCGGGAAACTCTCTCAGTCAGGATGCTGGATGAAAATTTGGACCCCACCCCCCTGCTGAAAGAAATCCGGGATGACAAAGTTGCAACTATTATCATTGATGCCAATGCATCAGTGTCAATACTAATACTAAAGAAGGTATGTGTGCTGAAAAATCATGGTATTATTTCCAGTGTTTTTCAATACTAATTTGTATTAATAGTGGTTAATATAGCAGTCATTTGTATTAACAGTATCGTTGTATACAGTTAAACTCAAAATCGATCACCCTCCTGTTTATTACTATTTTCTTTTTCAAATATTTCCCAAATGATGTTTAACAGATCAAGGAATTTTTCACAGTATTTCCTATAATGTTTTTTTTTCTTCTAGAGAAAGTCTTGTTTGTTTAATTTTGGCTAGTCAGCTATTATTAGCCCCTTTAAGCAATACTTTTATTTTGATTGTCTAAAGCAGGGGTCTCAAACTCAATTTACCTGGGGGCCGCAGGAGGCAAGGTCTGGGTGAGGCTGGGCCGCATAAGGGATTCCACAAAAAAAAGTCCTGAAATGTCATTATTAACAGTTTTAATTATTTCTTCTGAACATGAAGTGTCCTGAACATTAATAGAACATTGAGTGAAGATTATGAACAGTTCTTCTGAACATGGCATCTTTTGCCTACTTCTTGCTGCCAGAGACTTGACAGCGCTTCTTCTCACAAATCTGAACCACATTTGGCTTTAGAGCGGAAGCAGTTGAGACCCTCAGTATGGCTTGAAGATGATCATCATTAAGTCTAGACTTGTACTTTGACTTATTGAAGTCCTAGGGAAAAAAAGTGGGGGAACTCACTCAAAACTTCCATTCCCTCACCTAAAAAAAAAGGCGTATATATGTATAAATAAAACACCCCCACCCCACTCCAGTCACATCAGTCTGTACCAGTCTGTATCTACCTAAGATGCAGGGCAGGCACGTGCACACATAGGGCTAAAGTGCCCTTCCAAAATGATCAAAAGTGCCCCCGCGACGCGAAACACCCTCGGTTGCGCCCTTCAGTAGGCGCGCGATAACACCGCTCTTGAGTACGCGCGCGACAACACAGCTGATAAGAATGCGCACGACAACTGAGAGATTCGCAGATCCGCTGTGTACGGATAGAATCAGCGGAGCGGGGAGCGCTCTCTTTCCCCGCTCCGCTGATTCTGTCAGAGTACAGCGGTCGGCGCGGGCCACAAAATATTGCACTGAGGGCCGCAAATGGCCCGCGGGCCGCGAGTTTGAGACCCCTGGTCTAAAGAATAAACCATCATTATACAATGACTTGCCTAATTAACCAATCATATATAGTTAGTTTTAGTAATCCATGCAACTGCAACAGACAAGCTTTAAAATGGAAAGTTATAGAAATTTTTGAGATGCTAATGCTCTTGACAAATGACGACACGGCCTGGGTTCAGCCGTAAACCAGGATATGTGATGTTGAATCTGCATTATAGCTGACCAAGAGTCTAAATTGAAAACGTTGACGTCTTGTACCTGCTTGGCAAAAGCTGAATCCCAGGGATTTAAGGAGATTTATAAAAATACAATTTTACAATTGCCTTTTGTTGCAATCAAGGTTGAGTCAGAAAGTGTCTTTATATTATTCTAAATGATTATTGGGTTTAAATCAGCAGTGTAGAATGATTTCTGAATGATACCTCTGTCTGAAAATCTGATCAAAGATGCTTCAAATTCAGATTTGTCCATTTTAATTTTAACATTGCTTACGTCTGCTCTTTCTAGGCCTCAGAATTAGGAATGACATCAGCCTTCTACAAGTACATCCTCACCACAATGGTAAACAAAGGCCTTTTTTTTCTCACTTTTACCAATGACACACTACCCTTTAACCCACTTTCATCGAGTTACAGCGATGGTAGTCCTGGCCATTGACCAGCTCATCGCAGATGCAGAGCGCATCCATGCCGTTTATCATCATCATCGTGGATGAGGTGGATTATGTCCTTGTTTTGAGGTCGCATATGCTTCTGTTGTGAGCTTGGGAATTCATTACGACTCTTACAAGTTTAAGTGAAGTAGGCTAAAGCATTTGACCTTGAGAGGCAAATTGAATCACGCGAGATAAGATTTGAGACTGTCAAAATATGCTGTTTCTTGTCGTCTCAGTAAATATTTAAACCGTTTATAGATTTGTTTAACATGCATCTTTTTATTTTTGGATTTGGGAGGAAGCCAGAGCTCACTTTGCAGCGAGGCGGCAATTATCCTAAGAGCGTAAAACTCTAAAGATACATGAATATGAGTGCGAACGAAGATGAGTTGATTTACATTTACTCTGAATGTTTTAATTTAGTAATGCACCGTGCTTGAGTATCATTACGGCATCATAAAGATCTTTGATGTGCATCTTTTCTAAAAGTTAATAAAATGAAAAAAGTTCTTTTTATGAAACGGCTCATTTGAACTTTCAAATTCAATCTCAGCCTTTTATTAATCTCTGGCAAGAGATCTCCCCCCAAGAACAGAAGGCAAATGCAGACAACCTCCAGGCAATGCTGCAAATGTATACCAGATTCCTCGGTGGCTGTTGATTGAGTGATGGCTTTCAGTAGCAGTCTCTAAAATTAAGTGTGCGATTGAAATAAGGTCATCGTCTTGTCAGATTCGCACTGTCAGCAATCTAATTGAGAACCAGACTAAAGATGAAAGACACTTGCCATTATCGAGCCCTTCAAAGACATCCATGTTATATATCATACCTGGATTTATACACTGTATGACAAGAACCCTCAGGAGGAATCAAAAGCACATGATGCTACTAAAGGGGTCGGTGGCAGAACAAGGACACCTCACAGATTTTCTTGATAGGCACATGCACTTTGGACGGTTTTGGATTGTAGGTTATAAATCTACGAAGGCATATGAGAATCTCTGAAAAAAGTGAATGGGTGTCTATAAACGTGGAATTGGATCCTCCTAGGCAGGCCCGGATTGAGAACTCAGAGGCCCTTGGGCACAATGTCTTGTAGGGCACCCTACCTTGCCGCATCCCTATAGTTGAATTAAAAAATAAGATTAATAACATATTTTTTATTAAATTAATCCATAATGTATTGGGTGAATTTTTAAAATAAATGATATACTGTACATATATTTTTAGTCTACAAAGATTTAACTTTTAAAGCATTTAAAACACACTTTGATACAAAAATACTAATACAACTAGTGAAAATTAATGGATTTTAATATACTTGTTCAAGTTCACAGAAGCAGTACTAAAATTTATATTTAAGGGTCTTTTTAATGTAAAACTTCTACAAACTTTTAATACATATGATTTGGATATAACACCTCTCCAATCCAGTTCTATAAATCTGAGGGTGCTTTCACACCTGTGAATCTATTCAGTGGTTACGAAACAGGGATTAAAATTGTTACATTGTTGTTCTTTGTTCTTGGTGCGGTTCGCTTTCACAAGTTTCTAAACAGACCAAAAGAGCTAAAACAAGTCACGTGTGAGTAAACTCTCCTCACATTGGTCAGAGTTTCAGTGTTTGACAAGATGCACGCAACGTGTCTGAAGAGCGAGGAGGGATGCGGTGGGGTGCGGTGTCCCTACACAGCGTATTTGAGAACTGGGAGGGAGACGCGTGATTACTGGGAGATTATCATTCGTTTGCGGGCATCCGGGAGTCTCTGTGCATTTGCGGGAGACTATTGAAATTTCCGGGAGACATGGGATGTCTGTTGAATGAATTCCCGCCCTACTCATAATTCTCTCTTCATATAGCCGTATGCCTATTACATATCCATAAAACACTGTGATATAACCGGGCTCGGATCGTTTGCTTTCTCACTACAATCGATCCGCTCCAGAATTCGTTTCAATCAAGCCAAGACCACCTCATTCAAGCGATCTCAGAGCGATTTTTTTGGCGCGGATCCGAGTGCAATTGGTGGTTTCACATATGTCAAACGAATCGCGCTAACTGGGCAAACGAGACAGTTTACGAAACAAAAGTGTAGGTGTGAAAGCACCCTTAGTCTTCCATAATACACAAACTTATTAATGATTCCTAATGTCTAAAGTAGAGCTGTGAACCTACACTAGTCTCACTGTGCGGTTCGGTTACGATTATCATGCCATCGATTCGGTTCAACTCGATATTTCGGTGCATCACGGTGCATTGACGGTGCTTTCCATACACAGTTTTATATTTTCTTCACAGCAGCATTTCTTGTATTAAAATGTATGAATATATTTATATACTATTTGTAATACAATTTTGTCATTCAATACAAACAGTCAGATATATAAACTATAGCTTTAAACAAAACAAGCATTTAGCAAATAATATAAACAAATATAAACATCCAGCTCAATTTCTGATCCTTGTCTAGTTCTCTTACACCCCTTTGATTGGGCACACCCTCAAAAAAAACGGTAGGGATTGGCTCTTGCATGCTGCGTTCTTCACAGATGAGTGATGCTGATAAGCGGCAGGCGGCAGCGGCGATCTCACAGCTGATGTATGATAGACTCGGTGGAGAAAACTCTGCAGACACGCGCTCGTTACTGTATGCAAAACTACGCTGTAAAACAGCCGAGAAGAGAAGAAAAACCACGCCAGCAGGTCAAATGGGCCACTGTGTGTGTGTGAGAAAGAGAGAGAGAGAAATGGAGTGGGCTACTTTCATTCTCTCGATCTCAGTGAAATAGAGGCTACTGTTGTATATGTCAGTGAAAGACTGATCCAGCAAACACACACAGTGAAATTGTGCACAGTTTATGAGTTTTAAGTAGTTAAAGCGCTGTAAATACTCGCGATCGCCTCCCTCGCGACAGAGCGCATATGAGGTAAATGACGTCAGTAATAACCGGTTATGATTATTACTGAACCGATACCGAATTGTCCGCGTCTGCATCGCAGTGCACCGAAGAAACAATTCATTTTGACACCCCTAGTCTAAAGAGTAGGCAAAATCTGATATGTAGTGTGGAAAAAAATCGTCATCAGACGCTGGATTCGAATCGAGCTTATGATCGATTGCGTCAAAACATGTTGCAATGCACTTTATAAGCTACCCCACTCACATTGCTGATTGTTGCTTTAGTTATGTTGACTCTGTCAATCAAAGGGTGATGGGCGGGAATCACTCAACTAGCTTATTCCAATAAGGTGCGCTATTTGCACTTAGAGACACTACAAAATCGGCATTCCCCCAAGTGCGCACAGGCCTCTTGACCTGTGCACATAATGCCCATTGATTAATTTGGCCCTGCTCCTAGGGAATAAACAAAGTTCGAAGACAGCTACAAATGGACAGGTCAGCTCCAAATGGGTGGGACTTGAGCTCCAAGTGGACTGTACAACAACTCTAAACACAACCTCACTGGTACCTGTTGGGTTTTATCTACACCTACTACAACCCTAAATCCAACCTCACAGTAACCTTTTGTGTTGTATTAACGTCTGCACCTACCACAACCCTAAACCCAAACTTCAAGGTTACCTACTTTGTTTAAATAACATCTACACCTACCACAATCCCAAACCCAACCTACTTGTGGTGTAAATCTCTCCCACTTGGAGATCACCCAACTAGCTTACAGCGTATCTCCCTCCAACTTGAAGATCTCCGGGCTGCAGTGGTACCTACTTGCCTTCAGCAGCCATATGAAAGGCAATGGTTTGTGATAAATAATTTAAAGGCTTCTTTGTTGTGGCAACATTGAAGGATCCTCCAAGAGCTCTCCTATCGCTTCCACTTAGCTACAGAAAAAAGTCTTTGTTGACTTTACCATTGACAAACTCACTATACCTGCAGCACCTCTTGAGATTATCCACTTGCCAGTAGGCGAGAAAGCGCAAGAGCTGATTGATTTAACAGACAAGGTGAAAGCCATGATGCTCAACGGCAGCCTAAAAAAGCTTTTTCTAAAACAATCTAAGCCAAATTTGAATGTTTTCCTTGAACAATCCCAATGGGCAGCACTTATGTTGAGTGAAATTCTAGCTGGGTTAAATATTGCCTTCAGTAAATTACTATTTATTTATGGATGAGGGTTATCCCAAACCCGTAGGGAGCGGCTGCTATTTGCAAAAACTCTAACTGCTGTGTCAATGAGGCTATTTAAAAACCTGTCGATCTTTTCTGATTATCTAAATATTGCACTTGATATCACTAGGAATGTGGGATAGTATGTGGTGACTGCATAGTCATTTGGTTTCACTGTTAGTTTCATTATTATGTTGAATGTCACTCTGGCACCCACTTCTCTTATTTTCTACAAGATTTTCAGAATTTTTTAACTAGTCAGAAATTCAAAGTGGTTGGGAAAGCATTGTTTGTTCAGGCTGTCATTTTAGAGAGGGCTGAAATTGTATGTAAGCTAGGCTAGGCCACTATATTGTTGGCAGCTAGCTCTCTGCAACTCTCACATAGTCACCCACTGAAGCTAAGCAAGGCTGCGCTTGGTTAGTACCTTGATGGGAGAGCACATGGGAAAGCTAGGTTGGTGCCAGAAGTGGTATTAGTGAGGCCAGCAGGGGGCACTCAACCTGTGTTTTGTGTGCGTCCTAATGCCCAGTATAGTGAAGGGAATCTATACTGCTCAGTGGGTGCTGTCATTCGTATAAGACGTTAAACTGAGGTCCTGACTCTCTGTGGTCGTTAAAAATCCCAGGATGACCCTGGCATCCTGGCAAATTTGCCCATTAGCCTCAGCCATCATGCCCTCCTAACCATCCCTACATTATAATTGGCTTCATCATTCTGTCTTCTCTCCACCAATAGCTGGTGTGCGGTCTGGCGATATATCTGGCTGCCGTCGCATTCTTTCATTCTCTTCCAGTCTTCTTTCTGTCTTGGCCTCAGCTTATCTTGTGTCTGGTATCATGTGATTTTATTTTTTATTTTATTTACTTTATTTATTTTTACAGGGACAATGTACAACATGACATGTTGTGCCAGAGTTAGCTATAAAGCTAATTTACATCTGTAGTCCCTGGGCAGGAAGTAACAAATTTAACACTTATAACAAATACAATATACACTTACAGTACAATAAATACAATACATCATTGTCAATAAAATGAAATCAAATCAGTGGCTGCATATTTGATTTTGTTTTAGCCAGATTTTAAGAACAGTTTTAAAATTATTAAAAGTGCTGCTCTCTCTGATATACACTGGTATTTTATTCCATCTTTCTGCTGCTTTAACTGAAAAAACTGATTGTCCAAAAGCAGTTCTCTTAAGTTTAACTGAACAATCACCTCTAACAGATGACCTATTCTGTCTTCTATTGTCCTTGCCGACAATCACACATTGTTTGAGGGGTGAACGTCTCAATATCACTGTGATGCTGAACACTGGTGGTGAATGAGGAGATTTCCCCCAATGTGTAAAAAAAAGTGCTATATAAACGTAAGAAATTATTATTTATTGATTTTTATTATTGCATATAGGCGGTTCATTCTGCTCTGGTAACCCCAGATTAATAAAGGGGCTAAGCCGAATATAAAATGAAGGAATTCATTTATTAATTAATTATTGTGTGTATATACATATGCTATACATTTTACTTTTATGGGTCCTCACTTCTTCCTCTTCAGATTTAGCCTAAACCATAAATTGTTCATTTTAAATTATTTTGTTCACCAAAATCTGGCCATCAATTCAATTAATAAAAATATATACATTATATACAGTACTATGAATAACTTGTATACAATAACTATTACACTTGTCAAATTTAAATATTTATGATACAGTGACAATGACAAAGTGCTAGAGAAAATTCTGGCAAACTCCTCTCAGCTCACCGTAGGAATAGGCTATTAACTGTGGCAAACCTGGGCTGCCTCCCAATACTATCTGTTGGACAGAAATAACAGTTTATAATGCTGTGAGGAAAACATTGCTTATGTTCTGTATGACTGCACTATTAAACACTCACGACACCGGACTGTTGGAGAGCTGAACTTTACGCCTCTTTTAACCAACCGAAAACGTGCCTGCACATCATCAGAATAGTGCAGTTTATCTATTGTTAGTGACGGTGCAATTGATACACTTCCTACTTATAGAACAGGGGTGGGCAATTAATTTTTCCAAGGGGCCACATTAGAGACTTGGGCAGTTGAAGAGGGCCAGACCAATACAGTTATTTTGTTTAAAAAAAAAAACATTTTGTGAACTATTCAATAAATAAAAAAGTTATAAAAAGAATCAATTCTACACAAAGTGAAGTTTCACAAACTCATTTCGAGAGGAGCATGTGATATGATTGATCACAGCTGGTCTCTCATCTACAATCATTAGTTAGCCAATCAGATTAATTTAAACTCACTATAAGTAGCCCGGCTAAAACTACATGCTTTGTTTTCCGAAGAAACCCCCCATCCACCCCATCTCCCCCTTTCCTCTTTTACCAGGGGGAGCTCTCGAGAACTACCTGATCTCGTACTCTCCTTACATGCTCATCGACCAGGCGGGAGCCCTGGGCTTAATTATCTCCACGCTCAGGGTTCCTTCCCAGGACAGCATGCCAAACCTGCTAATATTATCAAGCAATATATAAATGTGAACTCTTGACCAAAATATTCGAGCATCACAATATCAGCTTCATATAAATGCCACAAGGTTGTTTGTTTGATTGCTTCACCTTAGTTATTGTTCGTTCATTCTGTCGTCCGGTCGGTTGTTTGTTTGGTTGGTCAGTCAGTCAGTCGTTCGTTTGTTCGTTCGCTCATTTGGTTGGTCGTTCGTTTGTTCGATCACTCGTTCAGTTCAGTCGGTCGGTCATTTGTTTGGTTGGTCAGTCAGTCAGTCGTTCGTTTGTTCGTTTGCTCATTTGGTTGGTTGTTCGTTTGTTCGTTCGTTCGATCACTCGTTCAGTTCAGTCAGTTGGTCAGTCGTTTGTTCGATCGCTTGTTCAGTTGGTCGGTCAGATGTTTAGTCATTCGTTCAATTGCTCGTTCAGTCAGTCGGATGTTCGTCATTTGGTCTTTTGTTCGATTATTCATTTGTTAACAAGTGCACTGAAGTCAGGTTGAATGTGAGGTGGATATGTAATGTAATGATCATCACTGAGGGAGGATCTGTATCTCCATTGCTTAAATTGTTTATCTAAGGCAGTGGTTCTCAAACTGTGGTACGTGTACCACTAGTGGTACGTGGGCTTCTAGTGGTACGCGGAGGACTCACTGAGTAATGAATTTGATGCGTACAATAACACCAATGTGATCAGCTTTTGGCTGTTCTCTAAAGCCTACGGTCAAAGCGCTGTGCGTAAAATGTTTGCTTTAGTGCATTGCGTCATCAGCTGCTAAAAATCAATTGAATTGGCGCAAAACTAGGTGCGTGGTGCTTGCAGAGCAGATACTTGCTAGAGCAGTGTTCTCAAACCCTCGGGCCACAGACCGGCACCAGTCTATAGATCAATTGGTACCGGGTTGAACTAAAAATCATTAATTATTTCTGTTTTATTTATGATCTGAATCTAAACGATCATTTATTTTGAAAAACTTTTATTTAGAAAAATGACTGTATTTTCTTGCTACTCTCGGTCATATTTTGTATGGAGTATAATTTCGTTGAATGAATATGACTCTGCCTCCTTTTCAAACTGTGCAGTGCTGTAGCTGCTTAATTTGGCCAACTACGCTACTTTATGTCAATACTGGTGATTACGGTGGTACTTGGAGAGACTATTTTTTTTCTGTGGTGGTACTTGGTGAAAAAAGTTTAAGAACCACTGTTTTAAGCTGTTTAGTCTACCTGTATTACTGTGTATTTCCCTAAAACATGTGAAGCTGCCTGGTTGGTTCCTTACACATGACTCGTGGTTCACTCGCGGCAGTCTGAAATATTTCAACTTTTTCAACTCGCGGTGCCTGGAAAATGTGAGCATGACATATAGCATGTGCATCATTTCCTATTTGTGCACTCAACCCGCACGTCTCCATTTAAAAAAATAAACTTAGCGCCAAAGAGTATGTGAAAGTCCCCTCTTGTTGACTCGCAATATTAGACCTGTGCATTGCAAGACTCTGTTTGTGGTTGAATTTAAATTAAATAAATACTTCACGTGGGCCGATCAAAGAGATACTTAAATTGAATAAGGACTTAAAGTGTTTAATAAACTAAATACCAAGATGTTGCGTTTTGTAGATGTTACTTTATGTGGTTAAAGTGTTTACTGATATCAAATAAAAGATGTACAATGTAGCTTATACTGTTTTGAAAGATTTTTAACTCTCTATCTCTCACTGTCTCTCTTAGGATTTCCCTCTGTTGAGGCTGGACGATGTGGTAAACGATCAATCAAATATTGTTGGCTTCTCCATGTTGAACAACAGTCATCCTTTCTATCTTGAGTTCATCAGAAGTCTAAACCTGTCATGGAGAGAAGGTTGCGACCTTAGCCCTTACCCTGGTCCAGCGGTAAGATTACAGTAATTTTTCATTTAAATAAAATGAAGGCTTTGATTCCAAATTTGCTCTGGATTTAGTTTCCCTTCAATACATGCAAACCTGATATCTATACAACGTCAAATTAACATTGAACATTAGCATCATAAAATACATCAAATATCAGTTGCAGGAAAGTCTTGTTGATATTTTTAAGTTGTTTTTGACATTGTTTTGACATTAAGGTGCATTCTAGGTTAAGAAAGATTTAAATTCTCCATAATTTCAGTAATTTGATTGACATTCCACTGCACAGTTTAAAACCGATATTGCTGAAATTTGCTTAGATGGGGAAAAACTGCCAACTGTAAACTATAGAAACTTACCTACCGCCTAACAACACCTTAGCAACCACCTAGCAACCACTCAACACCTTAGCAACTGCCTAACAACACCTTAGAAACCACCTAGCAACCCCTTAGAACACCTTAGCAACTGCCTAGCAATGTCTTAGCAAGCACCTAAAACACCCCAGCAATTACTTAGCAGCTTTTTAGAACACTCTAGCAACCACATAGTAGCACCTTAGCAGCCACTCAGAATACCCTAACAACCACCTAACACCTTAACAACTACCTGGAAAACCTTAATAACCACCGAGCAACACCTTAGTAACCACTAAGAAACTCTTTAGCAACCATCTGGCAACTACTCAGAACATCTTAGCAACTGCCTAGCAATGCCTTAGCAACCACTCAGAACAACCTAGCAACCACCTAGCAATGCCTAAGCAACCACTCAGAACATCCTAGTAACATCTGAGCAGCCACATAAAACACCCTAGTAAAGCCTTAGCAACTACTCAGAACACCCTAGCAAACACTTAACAACACCCTAACAACCACATAGCATTGCCTTAGCAACTGCCTAGCAACCACTCAGAACACTTTAGCAACCATCTAGCAATGCCTTGACAACCAGTCAGAAAACCCTAGCAACCACTCAGCACACCCTAGCAACCACCTAGCAACACCTCAGCAACCACTCAGCACACCCTATCGTGCCTAGCAAGAAACATGCTGATCCATACTAGAAACATGCTAATATGTATGTAGTTATCTATCTATGCCAATCAAATCAGATCATTCAAATCAGTTTGGATGTTTGACATGTTTTTGACGTCATTTTGACATCGAGGTGCATCCTAGGGTAAGAGAGATTTAAATTCTCCATAATTTCAGTAATTTGATTGACATTCCACTGCACAGTTTAAAACCGATATTGCTGAAATTTGCTTAGATGGAGAAAAACTGCCAACTGCAAACCATAGAAACGACTAAACCGGTAGAATAATGAGGTGTTATTCCTGCCTGGAGGATTTTTCTGATGTGTCCAAAAAGCATACGCGCCACACAATGTAATTTAGGAACCTCTGTTAGACGTTCAGGAGGAAGACAGTAGCTTTAGGGCCCTAACAGACGTCAAGTCTCCTTGTCCCCCTAGCGACCCCATCCGATGTCTTTCTCAATCCTACATCCCTTTATTCTCTTTTCCTTCCTCGATCTTCACCTTCTTTTCTGTCTTGGCCTCGGCTTATCTTGCGTCTCGTTTCGTTCCACCTACAGTTGTCATCGGCGCTGATGTTCGACGCAGTGCATGTGGTGGTTGGAGCGGTGCGAGAGCTGAACCGCAGTCAGGAGATCGGAGTGAAGCCTCTGAGCTGCACATCTTCGCTCATCTGGCAGCACGGCACCAGTCTCATGAACTACCTGCGCATGGTATGTGTCACCATGGCTACTCTGTTGGCAGCCAGTTTCTGACGGCTGCGTTTGATGGCTTCGCAGATGGTGGTGTTTGCTGTATGTCACACTAGCTATTAGGGCTGCACAATGTATCGTTACAGCATTGATATCACAATGTGCACATCCACAACAGTCACATCGCAGGATATGCAATGATAGACTATAGTTTACCAAGAGAAAGAGTTCAGAACACATAAGAATTGGATATTTTAACCAAAATTGATGGACGCTTTTTAATTTGCGCATGTTTTTAGGTCCTGACAGAGTTCGAAGTATTCAGACGCAAACAATTTGACCATTTGTAACTTTAATAGAGTGTAATTGTTAGGGCTAATGGATTATGGGAAAAATCATAATCACGATTATTTTGGTCATAATTGTAATCACGATTATTCAAAACGATTATCAGTTGAAGTCAAAATTATTCGTCCTCCTGTGAATTTATTTTTAAATATAAATATTTCCCAAATGATGTTTAACAGAGGTTTTTTTTAAAAGTATATCCTAGGGGTGTCAAAATTAATTGTTTCTCCGGTGCACCGCGATGCAGACGCGGACAATTCGGTATCGATTCAGTAATAATCATAACCGGTTATTATGTAGTGACATCATTTATCTCCTATGCGTTCTGTCGTGAGGGCGCTGTATATCCAGTGGGGCGCCAGAAATGAGCGCGCTTCAGTTGGTTTTGTTTTCGATTTTCCTGACACACATTCAGTTATAGACGGTCACGGCAATAACTCAAAAAACTCTTACCCTAAAAAGATCTAAAGTGTGTTTCCTACAGAAAGACAAAGCTGGTAATGTTTCACAGCTGTCTTTCTTTTTTTCGCTCGACATTACCAGCACTGCTCCGTTTAAGCCCTCGCAGTCTGCGTTTACTTTAGCCGGCAGAGCTCGCGCTGAGAGGAGCTCTCAGTAAGGGACCGTCGGAAAAGTGCTTATTTTTTTTTTTTATTTTTTTTTTTTCGTTTTTCTGCTCCGCTCAGCGCGAGCTCTCCCTGTTGCAAGGGCTTAAGTGTGTTTGTTTGTGTGTGTGTGTGTGTGTGTGTGTGTGCGTGTGTGTGTTTGTTTGTTTGATGCTGTCTATGTTTGTGAATGTGTTTGAATGAGAGACAGTGTGGTGCTGTGTGTCTGTGTGTTTATACAGACAGCATGTTATAGCCTCCCCCCAAAATATAACACTGTATATAGAAAGCATCGTCAATGCACCGTGATGCACCGAGATATCGAATTGAACCGAATCGATGGCATGATAATCGTAACCGAACCGAACTTCACCTTAAATGTGACAAACATTTTTTTCTTTTAGGTAAATTAGGATTATCGAATTTGTTTCTGTTATGCTCAATAGCAAAATAATACAAGAGAGATATTTTTGGAGAAATTTTTATAAGTTTTCTTGAAAGTCAAGTTTACATACAATGAGATTATTCTGCCTCTGAAAAAGCTCATATGATGGTGTCAATTTGGAAGTTTCTGATTGGCTAATTGACAACATTTAAGTTAATTGGTGGCACAACTGTAGAATAGTTTTTAAGGAAAACCTCAAACACACTGCTTCCTTCTGTGACAACATGGGAAAATCAACAAGCCAGAATCAACAACAACAAAACAAGCCAGATTACAATTTGCTAAATTATACTGGGAAATATCACGTGCCGTTGCTTTTGGTTAGAACACAGCCTTTAGGCTCAACAGTAAGGCACACTGTTGGAGTTCAATCTGGCAACCTGCGCTTGCGTGTATTTTAAACCAGCTGTGCAATACCCAGTTCAGCCACTGGGTGTCAAACTTACATACTGCACCTTTAAAATGAGCTGAAACAACACAAAATAATTAATTTGCCCCCCAAAAACAACTCAAGAATTATGTTTAATCCACTTACCGTATTTTCCGCACTATAAGGCGCACCGTATTATAAGGTGCACGCTAAAATACACTGTCTGCAAAAAAAAGGTAATGGAAGCAAAACAGTTAACATAGTTTAGTTGTACTTTATTTTACTATTTAACAATACACTCACATTATTATTATTTTTTTAATCAGTGTTCTCCCACAAATCCATCAAAGTCCTCATCTTCTGTGTCTGAATTGAACAGCTGGGCAGTTTCGACATCAAACACGCCGGGTTCTCTCTCATCATTGTCGGAGTCAGTCTTATTGCCGGGTGACTGTTTAGCAATGATGCCGACTTTTGCGAAAGCTCGGACAACAGTTAAAGCAGACACCTTAACCCAGGCATCCACAATCCATTCACATATGGTGGCGTAACTCGCCCGGCATGCCTACCAATCTTAGTAAAAGTGTGTTCGCCGTCTGTCATCCATTGCTCCCACGCAGCTCGCAACTTCACTTTAAACGCCCTGTTTTCATCAATATCCAGCGGTTGGAGTTGTTTTGTTAGTCCTCCCGGAATGACCTCAAGCTCCGAATTCATTCAAGTTGGTCTTCTAACTGTGGCCACCTTGCTTTGTTCCCGCTGAAACTCTGTTTCGTCTTCTTAACTTGGCGCAGTACATTTTCTTGTTTCCTCCACTTCCGAACCATAGATTCATTTATATGGAATTGTTTCGCAGCTGCTCTATTCCCATTTACAACCGTGTAACTAGTAGCTTGTAGTTTGAATTGTGCCTCGTAAGCATGTCTCTTCACTGGTGCCATGTTCGGGGATCATTAGACAAACATATGTGGTTTTGATTGATTTATTGCTGCTGCATACGGAGTGTACGTTTTACGTCTCTGTGTCGGCGGAAAATGCTCCGACAGCCAATCAAGCGGAGCGCTTTCCGAAATCACACAACATTTTTACAGATTTTTGAACTCCGTGCACACATAAAGCGCACCGGATTATTAGACGCACGGCCGTTTTATGACAAAATTTAAGGCTTTTAGGTGCGCCTTATAGTGCGGAAAATACAGTAAATTAGTAAAAACTAAAAAGTTGTCCCAACACTAATAGATTGTGTGAACCCAGCTTTTTGTTAAGTGTAAAATCCCTTAGCAAAAGTCTGCCATCAAAGTGTTTTAGCATCATTATATGCAAGAAAAAAGGCCCATAGTGGCTTCTACTGCTGCAAAAAATATATATTTTGATTTGATATGTGGTGCTATAGTTTATCAGGAAGCAACAATTTTGTTCTCTTTTGACTACACTGAAAAAATGTATTCAAAGATCATTCCTTGGATTTACTCTATTTATTTACGTTAAGTGGTTGTAAACGATTTATTTGTGCTGAATTTAAACAAACAAATTAAGTTGAACATTATTAAATTTAATTTGTTTGTTTAAATTCAGCACAAATAAATTGTTTGCAACAGTTCTGCATGCAACACTTTTTTCAGTGTAACATAGCTTTATTCGCAAATGTTTCATGCAATTTTCTAATTTTGCGCATAATTCTAATTCATATATTTAGATGAAAACATAGCTGTTGATGTCTGTTTCATTTCTGATGGGCTGCAGAAGCATTTTATTATGTTTTTACCGCACATATGGCTTTTATAGACGCTGTTAAATTCACCAACATGAAATTTCAATTGACCCTGTTTACTTTCTCTAAATAACTTTGTGCACAACTTATCAATGCATGATATTCCATAGAAAAGAAATGCCTTTGTGTTCTTTGCAACGGCCACTTGGGGTCGATAAACAAGATGCTGAGAGTTTATGACAGTTGCTTTTCAATTTAGCCTGCAATAAATTTAAAACTCAGCCACTGCATTATTGTGGATTGAGTATCGCTGCGCATCATTTAACACCATCAGGAAGCATTTAGCACAGTTCAACACTGTGAAACTATGCATTAAACAGCGATAACGGCAGGAAATGAACCAAGAGTATACATTTGCATTTAGTTTAATATATAAAATACGTATTTATTGCAAGAAAAATGTAGAAAGCCGCTTTAATAATTTATTATGTTAAACATTTGTGAGCTCAAAATAAAAGACTATTATACTTTTACCATGATTTACAAAAGACAGCAACTCACATGTTATTTAACATAGTAATGATTTATATATACCTATCAAAGTGTCTTGTCAGGCATATTTTGAACAATAATCATTTGATGACACCTTTAATTAAAATAAAATAATAATTAGCCCCAAAATAGTAATTTATTAAGTCTTTTTAAATCTTTATACTTTGGTTTTACACACTTTATCAAGTTTTTTTTAATATAATTTCAAGAATGAAATAAAAAAATTAAAAAAAATAATTTTAGCATGATTGCTTAGTCTTTTTATATTCATTTCACAAAACAGGTTAGAATAATTATTTCATTTTAATAAAATAAATAAATAAAGAAAGAAATATTATTATTATTATTATTATTATTATTCTTTATTTTATTAAAATGACATGATTATTTTAATAAATTAAATATATTAATATTGTTGTTAATATTATTAATATATTATTATTATTATTATTATTATTATTATTGATAATATTATGAATTAATAATATTAATTTATTTTATTAAAATGACATTATTTAAATAAAATAAATAAATTATTGTTATTGTTTTAATTATTAATAATATAATTTATGTTATTAAATGACATGATTATTTTAATACATTAAATATATTAATATTGTTGTTGTTGTTGTTGTTGTTGTTGTTGTTATTATTATTATTATTAGTAGTAGTAGTAGTAGTAGTATATTATTATTATTATTATTATTATTATTTATTTTATTAAAATGACAATTTATTTTAATAAAATAAATAAATATGTAATTATTATTGTTATTGTTTTATTATTATTATTATTAATTTATGTTGTTAAAATGACATGATTATTTTTATAAAATAAATATATAAATAAATACATGTGTTTTTGTTGTCGTTGTTTTTATTATTATTATTTATTATTATTATTATTATTGTTATTATTTTATTAAAATGACATAATTAGTTAAAAAATATATAATAATAATAATAATTATTATTATTATTATCATATTTATATATATATATATATATATATATATTAAGAAAGACAATTATTCCCCCCATTATTTCACCTATATTTTGACATGCTTTGTTCACTATTTTTAAAAAACATTAAAACAGACACGTAATTGCATCTAAAATGCATTTCTATGTATATGAAGTCTCGTTTATAAATTTAACATCATGCAGACACGTCACATCATGCAGGTATATATTACATACAGTACCTATATAGTTTAAATCAAGAAGCAGTTTTACTTATGCAAAGTCTGCAACCCCAAAAAGTCTTCGAATTTATACACACACAGCTTAATGTCAATTTTCAAATAGATGTTTTTTATTATTATAATCACAAGTAACTGAAGTGCTTAATGAGCCGCCCTTGTCAGAGAGCCCAGGACAACATTGCTGTTCATCCCCTTCATCAATAGCCCTGATGGTGACCAACACAGAATGACTTTTACGTCCTCTATAATGATTACACTCAGCCACAATAACTTTACATCTGACATTTAGTTTCAGAGCAATTACAACAGTGCCCTTAACACCAGATGTGCGTTGTTTATTGCAACCTGTCTGACGGTCTGCATCTATTTGATCACGTTAATGCCGCTATTATAAACTGTGTGATCCTAGCGAGTGTGTGTTTGTGTTGTCTAGACGCAGAAGTGCAATGTTTCATTCATTGTGTCCCTCCATCTGTTTTGCAGTTTCTCCATTACTCCATCATTTCACCACTCCATTTGGCGCCATCACCTCCTCTCGCCCGCCACTCTCGGTTTGTCTCCATAACTCCAAGTGTTTACCTCACTTGCCAATAATAATGAGAAACGCTCATTATTTTCCCAATTGCATTTGCTAGAGCGGAAATGACACTTCACCTTAACTTTCTTAATCATTCCAAAGTTTATTCCCACTTGTCCTCTGGCTGTCTCTCTCTCTTTTCCTCTGCCCGCTCTATAATTTCCACCATCATATTGTAGGTCAAAATTAATGCTATTTGTCATTCTTGTTTGTTACCCTTGGTTTAAATTCCCCTTCTCTCTCTCTCTCTCTCTCTTTCATTTTAGGTAGAGTATGATGGCCTAACAGGCCGTGTGGAGTTTAACAGCAAAGGCCAGAGAACCAATTACACACTGCGTATTCTTGAGAAGTTCAAGGGGGGTCACAAAGAGGTAACATACACACACTAGTTAATATTTGAGGTTTACAGGGACTCTCAATAGGCGCAATGTTTTTTCATATTGTGAAAACTACTAATTATATGTCCCTACTCCTAAAGCCAACCCTCACAAGAAACCTGTATGTGTTATGTAAGCATTTTGAATTGCTAACACATCAGGCATGTTCTTGTAAACCACCAGGAAATCGAGAAGAGTCTGGCTGCAGAGTTGAACTTGCATCTTCAGGCTCGCACTCTCAGGCTTGCACGCTCCGGCACCCACGCTTCCTATGCAAGTGACGTCATTTACAATCGACACCTGCACCTGTCACATCACTTGAAATCAAGACAAATAAACCAAAAGCAAGATCCAGTTCGTTTGTGTTGCCAGTGACGACGTTGTCAAATAATTCTAAGTAGCCAGTGTAATGAAGGCCAGCTAGTAAGTGCTGTGCTGGTAAACCTCACTCCTCTGACCTCTAAAGGTGCTCTAGCGACAGATGCTAGAGGCTGTGGTCTTTAGCCTCCTTGTTAGGGCAACCGACTCCCATGCGGAATGACGCCGATTCGATACCAGCTCGGAGCGGGTTGGGTGGCACAGCACCGGCGGGGTTACATTGGTGCCGTGACCCGGATGGGAGTGAGGTTTAGGGGGGTGAGTGTAATGGAGACCAGCTAGTATGTGCTGTGCAGGTAAACCTCACTCCTCTGACCTCTAAAGGTGCTCTAGCGACAGATGCTAGAGGCCGTGGTCTTTAGCCTCCTTGTTTGAGCAACCGACTTCTATGCGGAAGGTCGCCGGTTCGATACCAGCTCGGAGCAGGTTGGGTGGCATAGCACTGGTGGGGTTACATTGGTGCCGTGACCCGGATGGGAGTGAGGTTTAGGGGGGTGAGTGTAATGGAGGCCCGCTAGTATGTGCTGTGCAGGTAAACCTCACTCCTCTGTACTCTAAAGGTGCTCTAGCGACAGACGCTAGAGGCCGTGGTCTTTAGCCTCCTTGTTTGAGCAACCGACTTCCATGCGGAAGGTCCCCGGTTCGATACCAGCTCGGAGCAGGTTGGGTGACATAGCACCGGGGGGGTTACATTGGTGCCATGACCCGGATGGGAGTGAGGTTTAGGTGGGTGAGTGTAATGGAGGCTCGGAGCGGGTTGGGTGGCGTAGGACCGGCGGGGTTACACCTACTTACATTGTACAACATGACAGACATTTCCATTAGTTGCAGTTATACAACTAACAGATACACATTATGGACTTACAGCAATGATTCTTGAACGACTTGGGGAACTATTCTTTATAACTATTCTTGATAAGTTAGCACGTCTGCGCAGGAGTGCATCCATATGAAAACACAGTTGCAGCGCAGCTTCTACAGTCTCTACATGATCCCAGCCCAGTTTTATAGGTCCTCACTTAACGGAAAGAAAGCGGCACAGATGATGTGTAACATTAGTGCAGAGCTGTTGTAAGGCAAGCATTCGTGGTTCGTTACGATCTGTTTAGGTAACTATAGCAACTGTAGTGCTCGTCACCGTATGATGCCAGAAACCACAGTGAAACGCTTAGAGAAAAAAAAGGCACTTGAGTAAGGGTGACAGACACGAAGTTTGTTGCAACGATCTTAATGAAATCCATTACCTTCGAGATTTTTCAGGGACACCCTTAAGTTAAATTACCGAAGGACTTTCATGCAAGCGGACACAGGTGATAAATGTAAATGACGTCACTTGCAGAGGATGCACGGTTGCCTGAGCATGCAAGTCCGAGCGTGCAAGCCTGATACACAAGTATTTATGTGTATAAAGAATCTGTTTTGTGAGAAGTGCTTCTCATATGAAATGTAATCGACCCGTGCAGCTTTACTTGACATTTCTTTGAGTGAGAATGACCACCATGACCACCATTGGTACCCTTTTGGCAGTGGAAAGTCATACCTTATAAATGGGGAAACGTACTGACCTGTACGTACCACTCAGTGGAAATGGGCCATTATGGACCTTCTGATGCTGGTGATTTGCCCAGAGATGGGATGCGGCTGGAAGGGCATCCGCTGTGTCAAAACCTGCTGGATAAGTTGGCGATTCATTCTGCTGTGGCGACCCCAGATTAATAAAGGGACTAAGCCGACAAGAAAATGAATGAATGAATGATTCTGGTGATGTTTTATAGAGTAATAAATGAGCAAATAAAAATGATTGTTTTGAACTTACCTAAGCCATATGCCTACAACAGTATGTAGATATCAGAAAACAACTCAACTCATTAAGCCAGTGCAGTTAATAACACCTTAGACTTTGTTTCATTATGTTAATGCACTTCTGACTGAAAAGGAATATTGAGTAGGGGGCAGGGATTTCTTTTGTGCATCATTCGCTCATAGCAAACTAATGGTAAGAGAGGTTTTTAATCTGCAGTTGCTATGAAACCCCTTAGATTGACATCAACAGAAGAACCGCGACTCAAAACATGGTGAGAATTTGATTGAAGATTACCAAACCTAACATTTTGGTAACTTGCACGGATTAATTATTCACCTTAGGTATAAAAATGTGAGCTAGCAAAATAAACACTGTAAATTTTGATTTAAAGCCGACTTTAATAGAGTAAAACAAGGTCACACCCATGTCCTTTTACAAAACACTGTCCTTGTAAGCCACCAAAACCAGTACACACGCACACACACTCTCATGAACACTTACTCCGGATTGTATCCAGAATCACGGCAGAGGTTGTGAGGTCTAATGAATGGGTGGTAGCTGGAGTAATCACCACTTCACTCCTCTCTTATTGATTATAGTATTGATCCCTCGCTTCATGCTCTTTTATCTTCCCTTCATCCCCTCGTCTTATTCGCTCAACTCGTTTATTCCTGCCTGTTTCCTCTCTCTCTCTCTCTCTCTCTCTCTCTCTCTCTCTCTCTCTCTCTATATATATATATATATATATATATATATATATATAAATATATGTAAAAATCATAATTTCTGATTAATTAATCTATTTCATTTGTAAAAAGGAATACTTTTATGTTATAAGCTACTTCCTGTTTAGTCACTTCCTGTTAGTGTTCCTGGCTCTGTGTGAAAGCCATGTCAGACATGTGCTCTCTCGGGCAATCTAAAGCATCCACTTAAATTCGCCATAGAGGCAATGCCATAAGCATGTTTTGTACATTAGACATGTTGAAGAAATGATGTCAGTGATTATTTTGTTAAAAACACAATCTTTTATAAGTTTGCTTAATACTGTAATCCCTACTGCAAGGAGAACTGTAGTCTGTCATGGTATGGTCATTTTAAGTGCAATTTTAATAAGAAGAGTGACAGTAAACGATCAACCTTTCTTCGACTCTGTCTTCATCGGCTATGGTTTAACTTGGTGTTTAGTCAGTTACAACACGCTGCACGAAAACACTACAATAATTAAAAAGGTTCGGGTCAAATTAAAAGAGGGGCAATCTAGGGCTAACTCTTTTAGGTATGTTGATCCAATGTTTTTTTCAGTGTGGTTATAACTGCTTTGTCTTAGTATTTAAAGGAATAGTTGACCAAAAGTTGAAAATTTACTCACGATTTACTCGCCCTTTACTTTAAGTTTCTTTTTTTTGTTGAATGCAAAAGAAGATGTTTTTATAAAGCTGAAACCCAGTAACCATTGACTTTCATAGTAGAAAAAACAGACACTATGGAAGTCAGTGGTCACAGGTTTCCCGCTTTCATCAAAACATCTTCTTTTGCGTTCAACAGAAGAAAGAAGCTCATTTCCCTGCTGAAAAATCCAGCTTAAACCAGCCTAGGCTGGTTGGCTGGTTTTAGCTGGTCGACCAGCCTGGTTTTAGAGGGGTTTTGGCCAATTCCAGGCTGGTTTCCAGCCATTTCCAGCCTGGTCTTAGCTGGTCAGGCTGGGAGATGACCAGCTAAAACCAGCTTGATCAGCCTAGCCAAGCTGGGAGTCCAGCCAAAACCAGCTATATCCAGCTTAAACCAGGCTGGTCAAGCTGGTTTTAGCTGGATTTGGCTGGTCATTTTCCAGTCTGACCAGCTAAGACCATGCTGGAAATGGCTGGAAACCAGCCTGGAAGTGGCCAAAACCCCTCTAAAACCAGGCTGGTCAACCAGCTAAAACCAGCCAACCAGCCTAGGCTGGTTTAAGCTGGATTTTTCAGCAGAGTTAGATTTGGAACAATGAAAGAGTATATAAATGATGACAGATTTTTCAGTTTTGGTTGAACTATGTCTTTAAACTAAAGCACTGAAGCATCAAATCTCATGTTGTTTTTATTTCACATGTGCAGATTGGTGTCTGGTACTCCAATAACACGTTGGCGATGAACTCCACATCATTAGACATCAACACGTCTGAGACGTTAGCCAACAAGACGCTCACCGTCACCACAATACTAGTAAGTTCTTCCCACACAAGCAACTTTATGGATGCTTTAAATCAGGGGTCTCAAACTCGCGGCCCGCGGGCCATTTGCGGCCCTCAGTGCAATATTTTGTGGCCCGCGCCAACCGCTGTACACTGACAGAATCAGCGGAGCGGGGAGCGCTCTCTCTCCCCGCTCCGCTGATTCTATCCGTACACAGCGGTCACTGGCATTCCCCGCCCGCTGTGTTGTCGCGCGCGTTCTCATCAGCTGTGTTGTCGCGCGCGTACTCAAGAGCGGTGTTATCGCGTGCCTACTGAAGGGCGGGACTGAGGGTGTGTCGCGTCGCGGGGGCACTTTTGATCATTTTGGAAGGGCACTTTCTATGCAAGACTAAAAAGGGCATGTGCTCTGCACAGGTTGAGCCCTATGTGTGCACGTGCCTGCCCTGCATCTTATATATATCATAGGTAGATACAGACTGGTACAGACTGATGTGACTGGAGTGGGGTGGGGGTGTTTTATTTATACATATATACGCCTTTTTTTAGGTGAGGGAATGGAAGTTTTGAGTGAGTTCCCACACTTTTTTCCCTTGGACTTCAATAAGTCAAAGTACAGGTCTAGACTTAATGATGATCATCTTCAAGCCATACTGAGGGTCTCAACTGCTTCCGCTCTGAAGCCAAATGTGGTTCAGATTTGTGAGAAGAAGCGCTGTCAAGTCTCTGGCAGTAAGGAGTAGGCAAAAGATGCCATGTTCAGAAGAACTGTTCATAATCTTCACTCAATGTTCTATTAATGTTCAGGACACTTCATGTTCAGAAGAAATAATTAAAACTGTTAATAATGACATTTGAGGACTTTTTTTGTGAAATCCCTTATGCGGCCCAGCCTCACCCAGACTTTGCCTCCTGCGGCCCCCAGGTAAATTGAGTTTGAGACCCCTGCTTTAAATCCATTTAGATCATAGGACTCGAACTCGATTCCTGGAGGGCTGCAGCTCTGCACAGTTTTGCTCCAACCCTGTAATCAAACACAGCCGATCCAACTAATCAAGGCGTCCAAGATTACTAGAGACTGTTAAGCATGTGTGAGTTGGAGGTGGTTGGATTTAAACTGTGTAGAGTTGCAGCCCTCGAGGAATTTAGTTTGAGACCACTGATTTAAATGATCTCCGGTATGGGATTATGGTGGGGCTAAGCTGGAGTCTCTCTCTGATCCCCTGGGCTCTTCAATGGTTGGGGAAATTGAACCAAAACAAACAATTAGCCTACAATTGGCTTAAGATTGCCATTGAAAATTCGGGAAAAGAATCAACCAGCAAACCTGGCAATTAAACAAACAAACAAACAAAACAGGATCTCTCGTATTGCCGGGAGCACATTAAACTTAGCTTAGCTTAGCTTCAACTGATGATAGTAATATAATAGATGTTTCTGGAGCATCTAAGCAGTGTGTTAGAATGATTTCTGATGAATAAAGAGTCACTCAAGTTGCATTTTAAAATGTAAAAATATATTCACGTAGAAAAAAAGGTATTTTATACTAAAATTGTATTTCACAGCATTACCATTTTTATTGTATTTTGGATTAAATAAGCACAGTCTTGGTGCACAGAGGAAAATTGTATTACTTATCATATAATAACATTGTTTAGTAATGAAAATCTCAGAACAAATTCAGACTCGACTCATTTATGTTATTACAAAGTAGGCATACCAATTCAAGCAGACCAATTTGCCCTTGTTGAATGCATTAATAGTCGACATCAAAGTGAAATTTATTTTTAATCTACTTTAAGCACTTTCCTGGTGCCACTGTGAGAATTTTACCAGCACATATGTTTTTCAGCCTGAAGTTATTACATGATAAAACCAAGCTGATGTTAACACTGTTTTCAAGCATCGGTTTTCTCTACAATCTCTCGGTCTGTTTCCATTCTGGTGAAGAACGCCATCCATTTCGCACCATCCAATCAATTCCAGATGGAAAATATGACAACTGCACTGCGTTTATGTCTCAGCGAATGTCCTATATCACTTTAAAATAATGTCTCTTTATGAATGCAGAGTGTATAATGTCTATAGTGCCTTCATTGATTGACTCTATATCCACTGCATCGTTATTCATTCCCCTGCCGAACAATGTCACTTTCAAGTGACAAGCATATTAAAGCAATTCCTCAGAACATAAGAAATGTACCTGAGGAAGTCTGTACAGGTATTTCTGTTTTTAAACCCTTTTACTGTTGTCAGGATACTTCCAATGAAGCAGGAGGCATGATTTGCAACAAAATAAAAGATGCCTTTACATTTTTTTTTTGAAGGAAGAAACAAAACAAACGCTAAGCCATATAAAAGTGAATAAAACCATTTGGTAAATAAAACGAAAATGGAGTTTTTGGCATACAGATGTTAAGAGATTCAAAAAACAGCTCCTAACTAAACAAATCCTGGCTCTTAAAGGGTTAGTTCACCCAAAACTGTACATTCTGACATCATTTGCCCACTCGCCGCTTGTTTTAAACCAGTTTGAGTTTGTTTTCTTGTGTTGAACACAAAAGAAGATATTTTGAAAAATGCTGAAAACCTGTAACTGATGGCTGCGTTTAAAATCGCATACTTCTATACTATCAATAGCCCGTTTCACTCAATGATACCAGTAAATATCCGGAAAATTTCCGGAATGACTTTACCAATGTATTAAAAAAAGCGCTGTTTACACAGGCATGGACGGATGAATTAAAAAAAATCGCATCATACAGTTATTGAATTTGTCATCAACTAATAATATTGTGAACAACAAACCTAAAGCTAAGCTAATAAATGAAAATTGTAGCATAAACAATGCAATAACTACTAGAGGAAAAAGTAAAGACATTAATAATGGATAGATGATTACAAAAACATGCGTTATCTGGGTCCTATTATGCAAAAATCACTTTCATAAGGGGTTTAAACACAGTTTTGTGCAACGGTCTGTGAATATAACCAGCTTTAAATGGTAAAAATGTATTAAGTTATATTTATTTATAATCACACATCGTAAAAACAGTCAACAGAAACACTTTGATTGACATTCTCCCCTTGTCATTAGAGAGGGAAAGCCCCGCCCATTGGTGATAATCTCTCCCTCATTAACATAAACAGCCCTGAGTGAGAAGCAGCCGTCTGGCATTAGAGTTTTGAATCTGCCACTATGCTGACACACAGGCATTTGTAGCCCCGCCCTCATTTGAATTTAAAGCGGCAGTCACCAAAATGGCCCAATTTGGATCAAATCATAAAACGGTCAGTTTCATAGAGTTATAAAACATTATTTGTCGGGTACTTTGAGCTAAAACTTCACTTACACACTGTAGAGACATCAGAGACTTATTTTACATCTTGTAAAAAGGGGCATAATAGGATCCCTTTTAAACAAATAAACATTTAAAGCCTTTATATTGAATTATCTAGTATTAATTATCTAATTTGCATCATGTGCTTTGCTACATAAAAAAAATAGGTTTGCTATCCAGACGAGACGTCGTTCTGTAGGAGATATAATGCATTCAAACCCAGGAAAAGAACTTTCACATGTCAAGGCCAAGGGAGCACAGTTTCACTGGGTTTTTACTGCCGTTTCATGGCTTAACACCAATCAAAATGCCACTTCCACTGTATGGCTATTGACTTTCATTTGAGTTTATGGCGCTTCGCTGTATGGAAATGGAGAGTGGAATATTAGAGCATTAAATGTTACCTTCATCCGCTTTTATAGGAGAATCCATACGTGATGCGCAAGGAGAACTACCAGGACTTTCAGGGTAGCGATCAGTACGAGGGCTTCTGTGTGGATATGCTGCGAGAGCTGGCAGACATACTCAAGTTTTCCTTCCGAATCAAGCTGGTGGATGACGGTCTTTATGGAGCTCCAGAACCTAATGGGTCATGGACTGGCATGGTGGGGGAACTCATCAACAGGGTATGCATGTCTGCACACACACACACACTGCCAAAATTAGGCTCTGTGGGCACATTATGTAAAAACAGAGACGCTTTCCTGTCACACTGACCTCAATGAAACACTTGGGGTTTTTACAGAATGGCTCTGGTAGATTTTTATGTGTCTTTTATGTCTGTTTAAATCATCAGGAAATCACACTTGGCATATCTCATCTTTATGGAATCAGGGGGGTCTTAAAAAGTCTTAAAATGTCTTAAATTTCAAAAACAACATTTCAGGCCTGAAATACAGTGCTGTAGGTCTTAAATCATTATAAACAGGTCTTAATTTTCCTATGTTCAAGTAAAGCTACCCAATTAGGCTGACATCTCAAAAAAAATGTTTTGTAATATTTAAGTTCTTTATTGCAAAGAGATTCAATCACAACAGCTGTTAGACATTTTTACAGCAGATTCTCCAAGTTTAATTCCATAATTAGGGAGAGAAATTAAAGCAACACATCCATTTATATGATCTTTCAATAATACTTAAGCTATTTACAAAAGAAATCCAGGCAATTTGAAAAAAATCTTTTGTGTTTTGCCCTGTGTAAGTCTTAAAATAGTCTCAAAAGGGTTGTAAAAGTCTTAAAATGTATTAAATTTCAAAAACAACAATTTAGGCCTTAAAAAGTCTTAAATACACTGAAATACAGTGCTGTAGGTCTTAAATCATTTTAAACAGGTCTTAATATTCTTGTGTCCAAGTAAAGCTACCCAATCAGGCTGACACCCAATCACCAATAATCCATCTTAAAACCTTTTTATTTAAAATTTAAGTTCTTTATTACAAAGAGGTACAATCACAACAGCTGTTAGACATTTTTGCAGCAAATTCTCCGAATTAAATTCCCTAATCAGGAAAAGAAAACAAAAGCAACTCGTCTCTTTACATGATCTTCCATTAATACAAAAACTATTTACAGAACTGAGCCATCCGAAAAAAAATCCTTTGTGTTTAGCCCTGTGTAAGTCTTAAAAGGGTCGTAAAAAGTTTTAAAATGTCTTTAATTTCAAAAACATAATTTAAGGCCTTAAATACATTGAAATACAGTGCGGTGGATTTTAAATCATTATAAACAGGTCTTAATTTTCCTGTGTCTAAGTAAAGCTACTCAATCTGGCTGACATCCAATCACCAATAATCCATCTCAAAACCTTATTATTTAATATTTAAATTCTTTTTTGCAAAAGAGACAATCCCAACAGCTGTTAGACATTTTACAGCAAATTCTCCAAGTTAAATTCCCTAATCATGGAGAGAAACTAAAGCAAAACATCCTTTTATTTATTTATTTATAATTTTTAAACAGGATAAATTAAAAGATAATCGGGCCTGACTCAGCATGAATGCTGCTTTTCTGCAGGTTCCTGCTCTGCAGAACATAAAAACAGACAGACATCTCATCCATCAACACAGTACAAACAATCACCAACTTATAAAACATTTTCCCTTTCCCTTTCCATGATCTTTCATTAATACAAATAACTATTTACAGAAGTAACCGCACCATTCAAAAAAATCTTAAAATGTTTTAAATTTCAAAAACAACATTTTAGGCCTTAAAAAGTCTTAAATACACTGAAATACAGTGTTGTAGGTCTTAAATCATTATAAACAGGTCTTAATATTCCTGTGTCCAAGTAAAGCTACTCAATCAGGCTGACACCCAATCACCAATAATCCATCTCAAAACCTTTTTATTTAAAATTTAAGTTCTTAATTGCAAAAAAAAAAAGACAATCCAAACAGCTTTTAGACATTTTTACAGCAAATTCTGTAAAGGGGAAAGAAAACTATAAAGCAACACATCTGTTTACATGATCTTCCATTAATACAAAAACTATTTACAAAAGAATCCGGGCCATTCGAAAAAAAATCATTTGTGTTTAGCCCTGCGTAAGTCTTAAAATACTCTTAAAAAGGTTGTAACAGTCATACATTTCAAAAACAGCATTTTAGACCTTAAAAAGTCTTAAATACACTGAAATACAGTGCTGTAGGTCTTAAATCATTATAAACAGGTCTTAATATTCCTATGTCCAAGTAAAGCTACGCAATCAGGCTGACACCCAATCACCAATAATCCATCTCAAAACATCTGTGTTAATCAAAACATCTGTGAAAATCAGTGCGTGCCCAAACGAAAACTTCCATTTTTATGCAAAACCCCCGACACTCCTACCTAAACAGCCCTGGACTCCCCCACCTTCCTGATTTTATTCAAACTAGGCCAATTAAAGGCTTATAGGTTAATTAGGCAAGCAATGATAATTGGGAAAGTTATTGTATAACGATGGTTTGTTCTGTGGACTATCAAAAAATATTGCTTAAGGGGGCTAATAATATTGACCTTAACATGATTAAAAAAAAAACAAAACAGAAACTGCTTTTAATCTTGCCGAAATAAAACAAATAAGACGTTCTCCAGAAGAAAAAATATTATTGGAAATACTATGAAAAATTCCTTGCTCTCTTAAACATCATTTGAGAAACATTTGAATGAGAAAAAGCACATTACAGGAGGACCAAGCAGGATTTCCTCACTGCTTCTTTAGCAGCCGATTTTGTCCAATTACAGATATTAACGCTATTCACGCTAATGCTAAAAATAATGGCGACGGCAATACGAGCGCTAATGCCATTCTATTAACCTCAGTGTAGGCAGGTCTCACCAAAGCCCTTTTGAAATACGCCAACACATACTAATCAGTTCCTCCGGTGTCTAATTATTCTGCGCCACTATACCATTACAGCTGCTAAACCAGCGTACGCTTGACACATGTTGGCGTGTTGTGTTTGTAAAGTGTGCACACTTACCGCCTATGTTTCTCTCCGCGGACTCGCACTTCAGCTCTTCCTTCGCACCAGCATTTGATGACACCCTTTGAAGCAGTTTACAAAGCTCGCGCTCGGTAATCAATTAGGCTGTAATTAAGGAGATTGAGAGATACCTGGGGTACACTTGGGTTTTTAAGCAGAATAAACGGCTATTGATCAGCCCTAGTGTTGGGGAAACTACTTTGTTTGACAAGCTGCAAAGCTTCCCCTGAATTAAAATAGCTGGTTTCTAATAAAATGTAAATGCATTTGTAAATGCTATTTGAGGGTAATATTAAATTTATTTAATGCATTTTTTTTAATAAAAAAAACCTAAATCTGGCTTAAAATAAAAGAGGATTTTTGTCTTTGAACAGAATGATTTGCATTAAATACCTCTAATTAAACAGTAAAACACTAAAGTTTATATGAATTTAAATTAAAATCAAATTATTAAATGATTTTGCTGTTTTTCTCCCAAGGCCTGACGGTTTAAGGAACTATTCCAGGGCCCCAAAAGGAGACTTTCTGACCTTAGAAAAGCATAAAAGTGACTCAAAACAAAACTCAAGCCTCGTTAGTGAATTCTTATTCATAGCAAAACTTACACTACCTGACAAATAGTCTTGTCGTCCATCCTAGTTGTAAGAGCATCAAGTAATAACTTGACTTCTAGTTGATCATTTGGAAAAGTGGCAGAAGATTTATCTGTTGAACTGCATCCCAATCATCACAAATACTGCAGAAGACCTATTGGAACCCACATGGACCCAAGATTCTCACAGAAATAAGTCAAGTTTGGTGAAGGAAAAATCATGGTTTGGGGTTACATTTAGCATGGGGGCGTGCGAGAGATCTGCAGAGTGGATGGCAACATCAACAGCATGAGGTATCAAAGTTCCTGAAAGCAAAGAAGGTCCAGGTGCTTCAGGATTGGCCAGCCCAGTCATCAGACATGAACATTATTGAGCATGTCTGAAGTAAGATGGAGGAGGCAATTCAAAGGATCTTGATGAACTCTGGGACTCCTGCAAGAACTCTTTATTTGTCATTCCAGATGACTTTATTAATACGTCTTTCCTTCTTTCTTTTGTTACGCACCGTCTAGGGATGGTACACAACATGAAAAACAAAACAATGAAAATGAAGTCAAAGATTTATTGGGGTTTGAGTTGGGAGCTGACAAGGCCAAAATAACAAACAACAATTCATTTATGTTAAATCTCTAACTTACCTGATCAAAAAGAAAAGAAAAGAAAGTACAATTCACTACCCTAACTACCTAACACAAAAACAGAGGTCAAAAGGTTTTACAAAGAAAATGGTGTCAAACTCCTTACCATCCCTATATATATATATATATATATATATATATATATATATGTTTGTGTGTGTTTGTGTGTGTATATACACTATTTACAAACTATTTACAAAACATGCAACCATATTTAAAGAACAAAAATAATTTCAGCAGGCAACAAAGGTCAAACAAGTCAGTGGAACAAAGTATCATAAACAAAGATTGATTCAGAGATGAGACTCTGATTGGTTTATTCTCAAAACAGACATATTACTCATTAAGAAAATAAACTCAACCCTTTTAGACCATGTGCCACGGCGCAAAGCAGACTTTTCTGTCCTTATACTAGCAAAAGTGGATTCTGACACGCCCTGAATGCGTTTGCGCCCTGCGCTTTGCACTTTGCGCATGGACCGTCAAAATAGAGCCCTATAGGTTTCTACACTCACAATCCCATCAATGAGACTAGCATCACCAAAACCACTAGAAAAAATGCAACCACAACAGAGACTCCTGAATTTTTCAGTGTTTCAGTTTTTCAGTGAATTTTTCTTAGTCTGCCTGGCAGTAAAACTCCATGTGAACAGTTTTTTTTTTAAAAAACGGTTGCATTTTGTCTTGCTAAACACTTCGCTTTTGAAACCGCTGAGCAATCTCTTGCACCCCTGCAAAACACTGTTCAATTAGTGGCATCCCTACTGTTAGTTAGTTAATGATTTAGGTCCCCACCACAGTCGACCCCCTCCTCCCTGAGAAAGAAAATAAAAAATAATACCACACTGTTGTTGTTTTTGTTCATTATTGTTCCTTTTCTTCCTCAGGAACTTTCACTCTCAGGTTTTTTTATTCTCCCCCTTCATTTTTCATTCCATATCCCTCGTTTCCTTCATCTCTCAAGGGCACAATATTCCTGTGTCGTCGCTGGAAGCTTTCTCTTTACCATCTCTCTGTTCTTAACCATTCCTCATCACCCCTTCCTCCACAAGTATCCGTTTCTTCCTTCAAGGACCGCCACTTTATTCCTCCCCGCCTCTCTCTTTCCGTTTTCGTCAGGCTGCACTCCACTCTTTAGCCCTGTTTTTCCATCTCCCTGCTTCCCCATAATAAATAAATCTCTTTTCTTTTACCCAAGGACTCTCATATCGAATTCTCCCATCAAGACAAGCTTTTTCCAGTGCACTTACATCCCTTTATTATCCGCCAATTCATCCATCCAGCTGTCCAGCCTTGACTTTCTCGTTTTTCTCCATTCTTTGCTCATTTTTGTTGTGCTACAGTAAATGTCTTGTTGTTTTTTTAATCTTTATCAGTGAACCTCAGATAATGCCGAACGCTTTCTCTTTCGAGTTCTCAAAACCAAGGTCAGTGTTTAGCATTTAAAGACGCAACATGAAACCAAATTGCAGACCTGGTTCTAGTCAAGCATTTTACCACAGGCACAGCGGTATGCTAATTAGCGCTTAGTATCATCGCTAAATTATCACCACAATAGAGGGGGATGTATTTAGTTTCTGTCTGCAAAAAAACTACTCACTAAGTTGAAGCAAAGAAAGTTGATTAAAGAGCATTTTTATGATAATTTTTTATTGTGTGTTTTGTTTTTAAACATGTCCAGCAGTGACTGGATTTAAAGAGGAAGTACATACAGTTAAAGTCAAAATTATTAGCCCTTTTTTTTGTTGTTGATTTGTTGATTATTTTCTAAATGATGTTTAGATGTGGTGATGTGACAGAGCAAGAAATTGTTCACAGTATTTCCTAAAAAATTTTTTTCTACTGGAGAAAGTTTTTTTTGTTTTATCTTGGCTAGAATAAAAGTAGTTTTTAATTTCTTTAAAAATATTAATTAGTCAATAATTGACTAATTAATTAATATGTCAATATTATTAGCCCCGTCAAGCAGTATTTTTTTCGACTGTCTACAGAACAAACCATTATCAGTGTTGGGGGTAAGGCATTACAAGTAACGCAAGTTACGTAATAATATTACTTTAATAATATAACGGTTAAAGAAACAAATTACTTTTAAAAAATAAATAATATTTAAGTTACTCTTTTGAAAGTTTAAAGCAAGTTTTATTTTAAATAATTAGCTTTTTTTTTTTTAAATTAAATTCATCTTCATATCTTCATTTCTGTAGCGCTTTTACAATGTATATTATGTTCAGTGGTTTTAAACATTTTCGTTAACTGAAATAAATCTAGAACTAACTGAAACTGTATTGTGTACATACAAAACTAATTTAAACAAACTAAAACCATAGCAAAAATGTCCTTCGTTTTCGTCCTTGTAAATATATTAAATATATAAGCTTTTTAGAAGTAAATTTACTTCACGCTGCCAGCTTTTTGCAAGGTGTTTGACCCGTACGACTGTAGTCCTCCTACAGTCAGACCTTGCTGTTGCTCCCATGACAAAAACCATAATTGGACATGACAGCCACATGGTTACAACATTAAATACGACCCAAGCATACACTTAAAAGTATTAATTGTGCCCAATAATGGGGCTTATTACTTTGTTAATGATCCCGATTGTGAATCAAGCAAATTGGTTGAACCAGTTCACCAAATCAAACTGAATCATTTGAAATGATTCTTGTCTCCAGTAAACACTTATCCACAAGCAACTTTTTAACATGCATAATACCCCATTCTGACCCGAAATAAACCATTTTCCTGAGTTATTCAGTTACTAGAACAGTGCACAGAGATTGGATTTGAGAACCGGTGAACCGATAATACTGTGCATGCGTACTTTGGACTGCTATCTTGTGGGCTATTGTATTTGAATTTGAGGATGGGTAGATGGTAGTGGTAGATGATAGCGATGATGTCCTCTGAATACATTTTTCAAAAAGGTTTTATTTTACAATATTTATTCTTATGATTTTGAATCATTCACCTAACAAATATCATTATAAAAAAACACTTAAGCTTAGACTGAAACTAATTAAAGCTAAACAAAATTTAAACAATTTCAAACCCCAAAAAAGTCTAGTAAATCTGCATCTAAATTTCTTTTAACTAACTCAAATAGAAACTAACTCAAATTTAACTAACTCAAACAAAAATTCGATAAAAACGAAAACGAAATAAAATCTAAAGCTAAAGCTAATGAAAAATCCCCAAAATATTTTGACCTTGTTTTGTAGCTGTTGTGCACATCTGAGGCAATTTATGTGCTATTGCAGTTTATCTTAATAAACCCACTGTTATCAGACAATGGGTGATAAATAACTCTGCAGTACTGTAGTGGCTACAGAAAATGTTGTATCAGCCTCCAAAATGACTGACTTCACTAAATCTATCTGGTATTGCTAATTGTCTCTCTTTTGTCTTTGTTTGTTGCAGAAAGCAGATCTGGCAGTGGCTGGATTTACGATCACATCAGAGAGGGAGAAAGTCATCGATTTCTCTAAACCCTTTATGAACCTTGGCATCAGTATCCTGTACCGCGTCCACATAGTAAGATATATTTGTAACATTGGTATGCACAGATACAGTTGAAGTCAGAATTATTAGCCCCCCTGAATTATTAGCCCTCTATTTATTTTTCCGCAGAGAAGATTTTTTCCACACATTTCTTAACATAATAGTTTTAAAAACTCATTTCTAATAACTGATTTATTTGATCTTTGCCATGATGATAGTAAATAATATTTGACTAGATATTTTTCAAGACACTTCTTTACAGCCTAAAGTGACATTTAAAGGCTTAATTGGGTTAATTAGGTTAACTAGGCAGGTTAGGGTAATTAGGCAAGTTATTGTATAACGATGGTTTGTTCTGTAGACTTTCGAAAAAATATAGCTTAAAGGGGCTAATCATATTGACCTTAAAATGGTGTTTAAAAATGTAAAAACTGCTTTTATTCTAGCCGAAATAAAACAAATAAGACTTTCTCCAGAAGACAAAATATTATCAGACATACTGTGAAAATTTCCTTGCTCTGTTAAACATCATTTGGGAAATATTAAAAAAAGGAAAAAAAAATCAAAGGGGGGCTAATAATTCTGACTTCAACTGTATATACTGAACATAGATATTTCAAAAAGAGCACAATCTCATTTGCATTTAAAGCGGCAGTCATCAAAACGCCACAACTAGGATCAAAGCCTCCCTTTGTATATGTCATCAGTGTGGGAAAGCCCCGCCCATTAGTGATGATCTTTCCTTCATTAGCATAAAACATTAGTCTTGTTTTTAAATCTGCCACTTTGCTAAAACATGTGCATTTGTAGCTCTGCCCTCTTTTGAACAGAGCACAATCTCATTTGCATTTAAAGCGACAGTCACCAAAACAGCACAATTAAGATTAAAGCCTAACTTTGTACGTGTCATCAGAGGGAGAAAGCCCCGCCCATTAGTTATGATCTCTCCCTCATTGGCATAGAACGTTATTCTTGTATTTGAATCTGCCACTATGCTGACACAAGGCATTTGTAGCTCCGCCCGCTTTTTAAAAAGAGCACAATCTCATTTGAATTTAAAGCGACAGTCACCAAAACGACACAATTAGGATTAAAGCCTCCCTTTGTACGTGTCATCAGAGAGGGAAAGCCCGCCCATTAGTGACAATCTCTCCCTCGTAAGCATAGAACGTCAATCTTGTTTTTGAATCTGTCACTATGTTGACACATATGCATTTGTAGCTCCGCCCTCTTTTAAAAAGAGCACAATCTCATTTGAATTTAAAGCAACAGTCACCAAAATGACACAATTAGGATTAAAGCCTCCCTTTGTACGTGTCATCATAGAGGAAAAGCCCCGCCCATTAGTGACGATCTCTCCCTCATTAGCATAGAACGTCAATCTTGTTTTTGAATCTGTCACTATGTTGACACATATGCATTTGTAGCTCCGCCCTCTTTTAAAAAGAGCACAATCTCATTTGAATTTAAAGCAACAGTCACCAAAATGACACAATTAGGATTAAAGCCTCCCTTTGTACGTGTCATCAGAGAGGGAAAGCCCGCCCATTAGTGATAGTCATTAGGGTAGAATGTTAGTCTTGTTTTTGAATCTGCCACTATGCTGACACATAGGCATTTGTAACTCCACCCTATTTTAAAATGAACACAATCTCATTTGAATTTAAAGCGACAGTCACCAAAATGACACAATTAGGATTAAAGCCTCCCTTTGTACGTGTCATCAGAGAGGGAAAGCCCGCCCATTAGTGATAGTCATTAGGGTAGAATGTTAGTCTTGTTTTTGAATCTGCCACTATGCTGACACATAGGCATTTGTAACTCCACCCTATTTTAAAATGAACACAATCTCATTTGAATTTAAAGCGACAGTCACCAAAATGACACAATTAGGATTAAAGCCTCCCTTTGTACGTGTCATCAGAGAGGGAAAGCCCGCCCATTAGTGATAGTCATTAGGGTAGAATGTTAGTCTTGTTTTTGAATCTGCCACTATGCTGACACATAGGCATTTGTAACCTCCACCCTATTTTAAAATGAACACAATCTCATTTGAATTTAAAGCGACAGTCACCAAAACGACACAATTAGGAATAAAGCCTCACTTTGTACGTCTCACCAGAGAGGGAAAGCCCGCCCATTAGTGATAGTCATTAGCGTAGAATGTTAGTCTTGTTTTTGAATCTGCCACTATGCTGACACATAGGCATTTGTAACTCCACCCTATTTTAAAAAGAACACAATCTAACTTGAACTTAAAGCGACAGTCACCAAAATGACACAATTAGGATTAAAGCCTCCCCTTGTACGTGTCATCATAGAGGGAAAGCCCCAGCCATTAGTGACAATCTCTCTCTCGTTAGCATAGAACGTTAATCTTGTTTTTGAATCTGTCACTATGCTGACACATATGCATTTGTAGCTCCGCCCTCTTTTAAAAAGAGCACAATCTCATTTAAATTCAGAGAGTCAGCAAAACGACACAATACAGGTCAAAGCCTAAAAGGGTCAGTTTGAAAGAGTTATAAAGCATTATTTGTGGTGTTTTTTGAGCCGAAATTACACACACAAACTCTAGGAACATCAGAGACTTATTTTACATCTTACAAAAAGGTGGCATTATAGGTCCCCTTTAAAACATATTCACCTTACACACAGATCTTGCATTCCTATAGTAAAATCAAACATGGTTGCACGTGTAAAAAGCTTCAGCTCCTTGAAAAGCATCATTTGATCCGATGAATATATTGCAAGGATAAAAGCACCTGCCTTATACATAATGCATAGATGCGCGAACAATTGCGTACACTGTTTTGTCAGCATCAGAAGCTAAACTTTTACCGAACCCCTTCATTTAAAAAACACCACAATAACAAACACGAAATTGTATGAGCAAAAGCTTTCATCTGTTCTGAGATCCTCTGCTCTGTAGGACTGGTAAAAGCGTTGTTTGAATTGTTGATGTGCTTTCTATAGGGCAGAAAGCCAGGTTATTTCTCCTTCTTGGATCCCTTTTCGCCGGCTGTCTGGCTCTTTATGCTTTTAGCCTATCTGGCTGTTAGCTGTGTGCTTTTCCTCGCCGCCAGGTACCACGCTGACTCCCAACGCACACACATCTATTTTCAATATCATAATATTCACAATCCAGCGTTCCTCTTGAGATAACAGTACTCTGTTTTTTATTTGTTTGTGTGTTTGGCGTCTGCTATCAGGCTGAGTCCTTATGAGTGGTACAACCCATTCCCGTGTTGGCGGGAGCGCAGGGACCTGCTGGAGAATCAGTACACGCTGGGGAATAGCCTGTGGTTCCCGATTGGTGGCTTCATGCAGCAGGGCTCAGAGATCATGCCACGGGCTCTGTCCACACGCTGCGTCAGTGGCGTCTGGTAAGTGTGACGATCTTTCACACCTTTTATGAGGTGCTTATCTGCGAGTGTTAAAGACAGGCCTTCACAACAAGTGCAATATCAGTATCTGCACCAGCTGCTTCTGCAAACCTGACCTGCAAACAGCCTGGGGGACAGTATTGTTGATAATAACAAAGTGTTAAGGAGACTTTTTGGTTGTTGTAATAAAGTATTGTAATTTTACTAAAGTGATAATAATAATAATAATAATTCCTTACATTTATATAGCACTTTTCTGGGCACTCAAAGCGCTTTACACATAGGGGGAATCTCCTCATTCACCACCTATGTGCAGCATCCACCTGGATAACGGGATGGCGGCCATATTGCGCCAGACTTCACACCACACACCAGCTGATTGATGGAAAGGAGACAGAGTGATGAAGCCAATTATGATATGGGAATGGTTAGGAGGCCATGATGGACAGAGGCCAGTGGCCAAATTTGGTCAGGATGCCGGGGTTATACCCCTACTCTTTTTCGAAGGACATCCTGGGATTATTAATGACCACGGAGAGTCGGGTCCTCGCTTTGACGTCTCATCCGAAAGACCCCATCAATATAAAGTACTTATTGATTTAAAAAAAATTCAAACATTTTCAGGAAAAATGCCTTAAAATATTTAATAGAGCAAAAAAGTTTTAATAAATTCTAAAATAGTAAATAATATCAATAATAATAAAAAATAAAAATATAAAAATATTTTTATTAATATTGCATTTCTATT